ATACACACACATACACATACATACACATACATACACATACATACACATACATACATACATACATACATACATACATACATACCTACGTACATACATATATACACACACAGAGACACACATACACACACATACACATACATACATACATACATACATACATACTGCACATTACATTACACTACATTACACCACATCACATTACATAATTGGTGTTTATATACACATACATATACACATATATATATATATATACATACACCGCTATGAGGGCAAGCAAAAGAACACGGAGACTATGGTAGATCGAGACTGTGGGGTCTAGGGTTTAGAGACTTCTGGTTCTGAATGAGTAGTGGGGGATTGAAAATAGGTAGCTTAAGCCCTATACCCTACCCCCTAAAGGCTACACACCCTAAAGGCTAAACCCTAAGCCCTAAACCTTACACCCCTCAAGTCTAAAGTCTAAGCCCTACACCCTAAACCTTGAATCCTAGAGCCTGAAAGGGGGGTATTTGTGGAGAGGCTCTAGGGATGCCAGCTCTAGAGTCCCCTTGAAGCACTTGTATGTTTTGGCGGTTTCCAGGATGTTGGGGTTTGGGCATTTAGGCTTAGGAGATTGCTAAGACGTATGGTCCTTGTTAGTTTCTGGGTTCACTGCTCACTGTTTAGGGTCAGGGTTTAGGGCTTAGGGCCCAACACCCTAAACCCTAAGAATAAAATTGCAGAAGATGCCCTCCTGCCGCTTTTGGCCATACCCGTTAAGCTCTGGCCATCAAATCACTCAACCCATGAGACCATGAACCCCAAACCCAAAACCTTAAGGCTTAAACCCTTAATCCCAAGCCTCGAACTCTAAACCCCAAACCGCCAAACCCTAAACGTTACACCCTCAGCCCCGAAGCTGAACCCCAAGACTTCAAAATCAACAATCCCCCTAAACCCTAAACCCTAAGCCTCTGAGCCAGGTCCTCCAATTTGTTCGCTCGTGTCAAAAAGGTGGCGGCTTTGCCCCCCATCCAAACCATGAGCCTGACTTATTGTCCACCGTCACTGGGTTCACATTCAGGGTTTAGGTTTTAGAGTTTAGCGCCTAGGGTCTAGGGGGGGGGGCCTTCGTGTTTTTTGGGGTGGCTATGAGTTTACTTGTATGAGGATCCCAACCGTGAGTAAGGTCAGTGCAGTACAGATTGCAGTGCTACTGCAGAGGCCAGAGCTCTTGGGGGATGGCGAGGCAACACGCGTTTACATCTATTCCCTCCAGCTGGCAGATGGGTCACTTACCTGTCCATTTCAACTTTCCCTAAACCCTAAACCCAGAAGTATTGCAATCCCAAGGTCTACCAACAGCCTAGCCTCAGAAGCGCTATATGCTGGGTACCTAAGGTCTTTTACATGCCGGTGCGACTCTCCGGAAGAAGGAGATTGTCGCTTCACTTTCGCAGCGCCTCGGGGTATTTCTGGGGAATAAGTTCGTTATTATGAACCAGAACCCTCATACATTCCCCCAAAGACAACTGAATTCTGATGGGGCTCCCGGATCTATCCGAGGCCCTATGTGGCCTGACACTGCTGTCACTGGGCCGTTATCAACCCTGGGTTTAGGGCTTAGGATCTTGCTGGCCTGTCGGATCTTACATGATGATGGTCCGACACATGGTACACCAAACAAGATGGGGGCTTCGGGATCTTTGGGTGGTACCCCTACCTTACTGGCTCTTAGCACGGAAGAAAGGATTTTTTCCCTATATAATCCGTATAGATACTAGATTTTCATCTTCCTTACCAACCCCAGTAAGCTACAGTCGCCCAGTTAACCTCAGAGTCCTAGAGTTTTTGGGAAGCTCCCAGGTCGCGCCTTCAGAAGGGGACCCAGGACCAAGCCGCAGTTCTGGACCCAGCATCTGGGTTGTCATTAAGGGACTTAACTAAAGTTACTATAAAACTCATTTTTACTGAAAGAGATATACCTGTATATATATATATATGTATATATATACATTTTACTGAAAGAGATATACCTGTATATATATATATCTCTCTCTCTCTCTCTCTCTGTCTCTCTCTCTCTCTCTCTCTATATGTATCCCCGTTATGGTAACTTAACGGGAACTTAATTCAAGTTCCTTAACAGCAACCCAGGCATCAGTGGCCGATTGGCTGTTGAGCTGCCACTGGCTTAGCCTGGGAGAGCTTTTCCATGGGACAAGGTGTAGGTTGTTGATTATAGGGATTGGGGTAGAGTGTAGGGTCGATGTGTTCATGAGGCTTTCTGGACTGCCCATACTCCATTCACTGAAGCCACAAACCCTAAAAACGCATGCAGGGCCATAGGACGACTTAGGTCAGAACCTGGATGGCGGCTTTGGCTGCCGACCAAAAGGCGAATGCGAGTCGCATGCCGGCCACACCTTCTGTTGTCTTGCAGGAGTTCCACACGGTTTATCAGTTTGATTAGGCTTTATTCCGGGCTGCCACCAACGTGGGCTGTGCTTCGTTGTGCCAGAGCTTCTAGCGGCTAGAAGCTATGGTATTCGCTGGCACACGCGGCACACCTAGCCTTGAGATTCAAGAATGCAGAAAGAAAGGTTTCTGATCGTGTATGTAAGGATTCAGCTGATTCTTCGTATTTGCCAGGATTGTGCGTCCGCTTCTGTAGCTACCCTGCACCCAAGACCTTATGAACCCTAAACCCTGAGTTACGTAACCCCAAATCCTTGACCGTAAGCTCTAGAGCTGAAACCCTGAACCGACTCAGTTTTGAAGGCCCATGGGACCTGGTAACTACTTATAACTCGGCTTATAGCCCTGATTATAATCCTCCTAAATGAACTTACATTGGTTACCCCAATTAAAAGTAGGGTTGTAATCCCAGTTTTCAGTTATTACCAAGTCCCATGGGCCTCCAAGTAGATCCGCATCCTTCAGACCTAAACCGTAGACCCTGAACTAACCCTAAAGGCTAAAATTCAAACCCAAAAAATAAAACCCTCAACTAACCTCATATGCTTAATCTTATACCCTAACCAGAAACCCTAAAGCCCTAAATTCTAAGCCATGCATAGCTTCGTAGGACTGGAGTTGCTGCAGCGACTTTCCTCAATCAAACATCGGAGCCGGAGACGTTTAATCCGATGGCTGGGGAGTCGCCAGTGCTTTGGCAGTAACCCATGGTTTAGGGTTTAGGGTTTAGGGGGTTTCCCAAAATAAAGGGCCCCCGATATAGACACCCAAATACTATCGTGCTTATTATGGGGACCCTCAAAACGGTACCCCTCATTTTGGGAAACCCCCATGTATTGAGGGTTTAGGGTTTAGGGATATATAAGGGCTGCATAGGGTGGTGTAGGGTAACATGGTTGTAGCTAGGGGTTATGTAGGGCATGGAGAACCAAACGGGAAAGAACATGAACAAATAAATCGAAAGTGTGTATGTGTAGTGGCTTATAGGGTTTAAGGCTTCTGATGCCAGGATTATCGCCTATTGGGAGTCCATATTGGTATTTCCTGTTTATGAATGGAAGCTAGCTACCATACAGAGGGGTGATTGTTGATGGCTTAGGGTGAAGGGCCCGGGCTTATATATAAGGATCTTGATATCCTGTTAACGGGTCATAGGGGTTACTTATGTCTAGGATAATATGGGGGGATGTAGGGGCATAGGGCTTGGGGTCTCAATTTGGGCTAGTGTCCAACAATGGAAAACCAAACGGAAAAGAATATTAAAAGTCAAGATGAAACTCAGATGCTATGGTGGCCTATGAGGGTCAAAGCTTCCGAAAGCTGGGGAGCCTTTCTGGTGGATAGCCGTCATGGGGTGTTAATAAGGTGCCGCCTATGTCTGGAAACTTCCATATCGAAGGGTTCTTGATTATCTATTTTTCGCGGGGCTAGTTCAATCTCGAGGCAGGATACCCAAAGTAGACAGCTCAGTGTATACTCACAAAAACAAACGGGGCACGGATAGGCCCAAACCCTAAACCCTAAACCCTAAACGGATTTAGGGTAAAGAGCCTTAGGTGCGAGGGAGGCGGCATCAACGGAAGGCCCGGCAAACAAGCAGATGCCTGCGCTTGGGCCAAGTTGAGAACAAGCTTTCTTTTTTTCCCTGTGACCCCTAGAACTGGGAGAAACACATGCCCCCGGCATCACCCTTTCAAGAATGCCGTCCAGAAGTTGAAACCATAAATCCGGAGCTAAACCCCAGACATAAAACCCTTAAGCTCATGCAATAAAACTCCTATATTGTCCTAGTATCCATGTTCTTGTCCATTGTGATTCTCAATTTTTTGTGGACTTTATATTACCCGAAGGCTACACATGGTGGACCTTAGCCAGCTCCAGCTTAATCTTGGCATCCGAAGACAACCCCGACTCGGCGATGGCGGACTTGTTTGATCTCCCTGCGTTGGAGGTATTCCTGAATCAATGTGCACACCCGGATGGAGGAGTTGCCCCCCATCCAGGCGACTTATTTATGCCGATGCTTTAAGGGGATTTTGGCAACCCCTAGCTTCAAATTGAGGAACCTAGCACAGGCACATGAGTTTATAGGGTCCTGGTTTTGGGCGGTTGGGACTGCAAAAATCTTCTTCTGATACTACGGAATTGATCCTTAGAGTAGTCCCTACACAATTCCGAATACTCTACAATATTGCCTAGAGCCCTTCCCATTCTCAAATAAGCCCTAGACTCTTGAGCAGACCTTCGCCCCCTTCCCAACTAAGGCTTAAGTTGTACGGTAGTATTCACTTGCATTCCCTCGTTCCCTCTAGGCGATGATCCTGACCCTTTCCATACTTTTTTTGGGCTTGCCGGCTGGTCTGTGGCTTCGCACGCGCAACACGAATCTTCAGCACGCGGCTAGTTGTGATTGCGATGGCTATGGTTGATGGGCCCAGCCCCTACACCCGAAACCTTAAACCCCAGGATCCTAAACCCTAAACCCCTAGCCCTAAACCCTGAACCTGTATGTGACCCCAGAACAAAGCTAAACTTGGATCTGGCAAGCCTTTTGAGGTGGTTGGGCTCTTGAGCTGTGGTTCTTCACGTATTCAGGGTTTACCAGGTTTAGAGCCTAAACCCTAAGCCCTCAAGGAAAAAATAAATGGAAATGGTATACATTCACGATCGGACATGCAAGTTCGTTTGCCTCTACACAGTTGGTGCTGCGCACAAGTCCCTGCCCCGCCCAAAAGCATCCCAATGGCCTGAAGAGGCGCCAGACAGACCAGAAATAAAGTTTAGGGTTTAGGGTTTAGGGTTTAGGGTAACAACACAAAAAGCGCCACCACAAAGAGCTCAAAACTGGTCGCTTCAAAACCACCCCAAAAATGGTCTGGAGAATTCCAAACCAATCCCAGACAGGGCAGAAACGGTCTGGGAGAGCCTCAAAGCCAGCCCAGCACTCTTCATTCCCAATTTCCACTAATTACGCCACGCCCCATGCCCCACTACCAAGCTGGTATTGGACAAGTCACAAGACGAAACTTTCGGTCAAAACTCCGGTCAAAACGTTCAGTCAAAACTGAGGTCAACAATTGCAATTCAAAACTAATGGATCCAAACCCTATACATGTTTCATAAACTTAGGTTTTAGGGTATGATTTGAATTGTTCTTTCGAAACCCAAGTCCAGCTCCAGCCTAGGAACATGGCTGGGCCAGATGCATGCTGCACTGGTGCTGCCAATCGACTTGGCGAAGGAAGATAAAATGGGGCTGGAGGGCGAAGGGGGTATGATTCAAGATTTAGACCATATGGGGATTTAATATGATTATGAGGAATCCATTATTTACTTAAAAGGGCTATAAATATCAAACGCCATGCATCCTGGAATTTCAATTGCTGCCAAAAGATGATATTGGAGATACTAGGATTTTCATTTTGGGATCTCATAAGATAAGATTTCTTTCTAATTGATCTCATATACCGAAAATATACAGAAATTATCACGAAAAAATGATTGATATTATTCATTTTGGTCGATATATATGATCTCTATTGAAAGATGAATTATGATTTTCAGAAATATCATATAGATCGTATCTCTTCATTTAGCTATATTAATTTCGATAGATCATATATATATATTATTCATATATGCCTAGATTTAAATACTATTTCGCCTATTTAATAAAACAAAAAAAAGAATTTTGAAAGTAATTTGGAGACTTCTCGTCATTTAGATTAGCTTTCGTTATAATGATTCGAAAAGATGAATTAGATTTCATTTGATATTTATATTTAATCTTGATAGATCTAATATATATAATAAAGATTGGAGATAGATAAGAATTTTTCGATTTCTTTATTCTAAAATATGCTTGCCTTGATAAATTTGGTTATTAGGATTCTAATTTCGAACATATAGGATAGATTCATGAATTTCTTTCTGAAGGTTTGAATATATAGATAGAAGATATATTCGATTTTACGAAATTTTAGATGAATCTTTAATTTATGATAGAATTTTTTTTTCATAATTTTTGGCGGATATATATGATAATTTCAACAAATAATCTTAATTAATAAGTTGCATTCTAGGATGCGTAAATATGTTTTTTTCCGAGATAAATTATCGGACCTCTCGCTAGGAGAGGCAACGTAATTTGATCTTTTATAATTTCTTAGATTTGGATTCATAGAATCTCTATGCAGAATTCTCACCGTCCGTGAACTAAAAAAGGATTTGATTTCCGAAAATAGATTTAGATTTCGAAATTTCGATTTTTACGTAGCGCTTACCGCATTTCTTGATATTTTAGAATTCAGATAATTGAAATTCAAAATAGCCTTCGAAAAAATAGGAAACGAAAATCCGATCGATTATTATTTTTTACTATATTTTCGATAAATTCTATAAAAAGAAATATCTATTTCTTGGAATGATATATATATTTTTTATTATTCTATTAAGATTTCTATTCATTCAATATTGAAAATAGATCTTAAATTTTCATTCGAAATTGATATAGAATTCAGAATTGAATGATAATTCGCAATTTTATATATATATAGAATAGAATATTCCGGATCGAATGAAAATATCTATGAATTTAGATTCTTGATTTAGATATAATAGGATACGTTTTCCGGAAATTTATTTTCAAATCTATCTTCAGATTGGATATCACTACTATTCGCAATAGATTGTTTCCCCAACAAGTGGCTGTTGGGGTCTCGGGAGGAGCTGAAGCCATGGTCCACGCGGCTAGGATTTGGATTAGTCGTAGTCGGAGGGATCCCACGGTATTCCTCCTCCAGAAAGATATTAAGAATTTATTTAATGATATTTTTCATGATTTTTTTTTATATGAATATCGTAGATACGCCCCGTCCTCGGCTAGAATTATCTTGAATAGGATTATATAATTCCTTCCTATTTGATCTATGATGACGAGATCGCTATCAATTCGTGAGGTCATCAGGAGCGTCCGATGATGATATCCTTATTTTGTCTTGCCCGTAAGAGGGTATTTGAGGAAGTTCAGGCTAATATTGGAAATATTATCTTCTTTGCCTCCGAATACGCAGATGATAGATTTAATGGAGGAGTTATCGATGAAATTTTGAAGTTCTTTCAGGAGGAATCTCGCCTTGCTGAGGAGTTCGAGTTGCGTACGACCTCAATAATTGTACTCTTTATCTTCTTGCTGGAGACGGTCCGTAGAAATATTAAATGCTTTCAATCCCTGGGGGTTCGAGATTATGCAACCTGCAATATTCAAATCTTGAAGGCTCCTATTTCTAGATCTCCGGAATTCTTGGCTGAATCTTGTCAAAATGAGAAATCGGATTTCGAATGGAAATTTAAAGGCCTGGAGGGTCTTGATCAAAAATATATCGTATTTCATTTCTTTCAGGCGTGCATGGGTTGGTCCTAATTCAATTATTTGGGCAGAGCCACTCCTAGATATTTCTTTCTCAAATGATCTGAGGTGTCATTGGGCCAAATCCGCTTCCGAAGAAATATAAACTAATTTATTAATTAAGGGAGTCTCCTCAGCTGGGAAACCCCCCAAGGCGATTCTTAGCTAGGTCTGGACTCGGAGTGATGGAGTGATGGCCCATCTGAGACGGCATTCATCAGGGTTCGCATTCCATTCTACAGGTCCTGTCGAGCACCTATCTATTTGAGAGCGCTGTCCCAAGGCAGCTCATTTGGGGAGGCTTCTCCCCCTGCTCGGTTGCTTGCACCTTGTTGGGGAGTCACCTCACCCTGTAGTTGGCCAAATTGGTACGCTGAATTAAGAGGGCGAGCTTCCTCAAATTCTAGGAGTCTAAGCCCAATCTAAGCTACCAATTATTCTGACTCCTTCCCGAGGTCAAGCGTTCTCGCGCTTACCAACCGGCCCCCTGGGACGCCCATAGCAGCAACCCCAGAAACTGGACTCAAGCTACTCAAAACCGAAATCTTCAAAGGGGAGGGGCTCCTCACCCTACTTGCTGCTGGATGCACCTAGGACAAGATTCATCCCAGTAGCCTACTTACAGAGACCCCGGGCGAATGCCATTAGCAGGGATGGGGAAAGATTTAGGAAGACTAGTAGCGCGGGGCCGCTGCCCGCCCCCCATGGCGCAGGGCCGATACCAACCCCTCTACAAGGCGCAGGGTCCACGCTTTCCCCTAAATGCAACTGCAAAGATGCAGGGAACGACACCCCGCCCCTCAACACAGCGCAGGGCCGACGCTACCCCTCAACTAGGCGCGGGGTCCACGCTTTCCCCTAACAGCTGCAGGGGCAGGGAACGACGCCTTGCAAGGCGCCGCAATACTAGCGAATCGGAATCTATCCCTCATGTCTGCGTGGGCGTGGGCGTAGTCCTAGGGAGGGGACCACAATAAATTCCAGCAGGGCGGCGTGCTCGCACTCACCGACCGACCTGCCTGGACTCAATGCAGACAGGTCCTGAAATTCATTATATCCAAATTGATTTAGACACTATAACTGAGGCTCCAGAGAAAATCCCGGCGTGTTCTCTTAGAGCCCTCCCCAGTTTCCGAGCCTTTTCTCAAGATGCTGCGCCAAAAAGGAGGCTCCAGAAATTTCGAGAAGGGTGTTTCAGACGGGGTATCCAGATGACCTGTCATGATAAGGCCGTCAAAAATCCAAACTAATCTCTGCAGCCGCGATGCAGTGACAACTACTTCTGGCTTCAGAACGGTCCAACGCGAAAAACCTCCCCTTTACGAGGCAGGGATGCAGGGACTAGAAAGGCAGCCCTTAAGCAGCGCAAGACCCCAAAGGAGGCAGGTTTGACCTTGAACAGAGATCAATTGCTTGCACTTCCCCACGGCCCTCAACCTCGACTCACCACCAGAATTGGCAACCTGCGTAAGTGTGAAGAGAGCATCCAGACCAGCAGACTATACCAGCTCTGGGGCTGAGGCAGCAA